CTATGGTGGAGCATTCGAGCAAGAAAAGACTCCTTAAACATAGAGCTTACCTCTTGAAGCTTTAACAATCTGCTTACTTGTGGCTCAAGTTACTTATATATCTTCAAGAGACTCCGATTCCTTTTTAGTCCCTAGGTACACCAAGAGCAAGAATCCACAAATACAAATTAATAAAATGCCATCATGCCTAGCTTTCACATAAGGCATACATTTTATCGCTTCTTTTCGTTTCTTTACGTTTTTGCCAATGCTACGCCAATACACAAGTCTAGACCACCTTATACTCGTTAGGATTCTTTAATTTAATCAAGTGTTCACTTCAGAATTTTCAACATAATTCATGCCATTTTCTTTAAAAGGACCGTGGGCATAGAATTAGGAAATCAATAGATTTTTCCATGATTTCTTTTCAAACCATTTCACTTCACGTCTTATCATTTTCATACTTTGAAATACACATATTTTATTAAAATAAAATATGACAACATCTTTCCCTAAACACCCTATAGGTCGAATCCTTTAAGAGAATTTCCAAGCATCCTTCTCTTTTACATTACATTTTCCTCACTTAATTTAACAACTACACATACATAAATAAATAAATAAATATATATATATATATATATATATATATATATATATATATATATATATACCAAGTTCCAATTTAATTTTTTTGGGAATCTCAAGCCCTTTAAATCCTTCAAGGCCGAAACATCAAGGGTATGTTTCAAAGTATTTTCTTTCAAATCTAACATTCTTACTAACTCATCCAAATTCCTCTTACTTGCACACATAAAACCCCTCGTAATACATCAATTAAAATTTGCACAATAAATTCTATTAACCCTATCAAAGGCCGAAACATAGAGAGGAAAGGCATATGATTTTTCTCTAATTTTTTTTACATACATACAATGCTCCTTTTTATTTCCTACATCCAAAATATCAATGATTCATCATCAAATCAAATATTTTTTAAAACATAATGCTTTCCCACCAAAGCATATTCATAATTTTATAACTTAAATATTCAAGACACTACCATGAAAATAGAGGTTTGTTACCTCTAATCAACTACCAAAGCCTAGAAGACACATCTCCAAGCAAGGCTCCTTCAAAAATGCACTTTTTCTTCCTTGATGAATAGTGTTACAAAAATAAGATGACCAGTATCTCTCTCCACACACGAAATCAGCTCAAACGGAGGGGTAGAATAGCTTCCTTGGATGATTTCCTATGAGATTGGTATATTGGGTGGAAGATTTGGTGGCTTAACCATGGAGAAATCAAAGAAAGAAAAAGACAAACCCTAACCCTTCCCCCATGGCTGCAGCTCAGTTTTGAGAGTGAGGAGAGGAGAGAGAAACTGATTTGGAAGTGAGACTTACATGACTTATAAGGTTAGCACATGTGGCCTTTTTTAACAGATATTTTTCTTTCGCGTATTTTCACTTAAACTGACCCGGAACTAACTCAAAGCTACGAACATATTTTTATTTTTTTAAAGTCATTTACATTAACTTTTATTTTCTAAGGAACAATATTCATAATTCACTGTATGGTTTTTGCACCGTTTTTGACAAAATGCACTGTGAATCACTAATTGTACTTCATTTACTCATGAAACTTAAAACTTATAAACTTATCATTCTTAGGTCTATTTTGACTTGCTTGGCATATATTGGACTTTCTTATTCTCATTTCATCACTTTTTTTCTTCTGGACTCTACCGGTTGCTTAAACAGCAGTACAAAATACCCGGTAGAAACACTATTCACGAGATTTTCACGAAAAGTGCCAGACTTTACAATTTTTCGTTCTGAACTCATATATGTCCTCAGAATTATCAAATTATGTCTCTAAAATCATTTTGCTCATTTAAGCTCTACCGGTTAATTCACAAGACTGCGAATTCTCCGGCAGAACGCACTGTTCATAACATAGTCATGATTACAGTCAAAATACTCGAAATCGCTCACTAAATGTAATTATGGCATTTAAATCCTTAAATTAAATCTCTAACTAAGATTTATCAGTTAGGGTCATTATAGAGTACATATTTATAATGGTAAAATTATTTTCTCTTTCTCCGTCACTATAACAACCCTCGTTATCAAATCATGTATATTAAGAGATTAAGTAAGTGTTTAAGTGAATTAAACACGTGTTTAAGGAAATAGTGAGCGGTAAATCATGTAATTGACATGATAATGAATTTAAGAATATAGTTCATGACAGACAAGTCTAATAGAACCCCAAGTATAAGTATGTAATAGATTTGAGGACATAGATGTCATGATGGTGAAAGTTAGGGTTAGTTTGATAATTGGCCAAAACTAGGTCAAAACTTGAATTAGATAATTTAATTAAATTGTATAGCAAATTTTATATGCTTAAAGTGTCTTTAAATTAATTAGATGATGTCTAGATTAATCTTACAAGTAGGTCAAAGTTAGACCAAAAGTAACCAATAAGGATTGGTATAGGTCAAATTGCTTAGAAAGTTAATGAAATTGACAATGTAACTCAACTTTGTGGAATTCCTCTTGAATTTTTGATGTATAAGTAATTTATATGCAGCTATAAATTCTTAATTACAAGAAGGTCAAGGTTACTTATGAATGAACCAATTAGAATAAAGGTTGAAAAGTCTTGAAATAATGGACCAATAAAAGTGAAGTTTGAATAGTCAAAAAGTGATAAGTAGATAACTAAGTAAACTTGATGGTCGGTTAATGTGTGTGTCTTCATGTCCCACGCAGCCCATTTCTTTCCTTCTTTAAGTTTCAACCAATAGAATTTAAGCATGAAGGTTACAAGTAATCCTTGGTTTAAGCTTCATGAGGTAAGCTCTTTGTTAAAGAACCTTCTTCTCCTTGTATGCTCCACCATGGTCCATTGGGGATATGGTATAGAGAATGTATGATTGTATGTTTGATACCTAGTATAGGTGCATTTATGTGTGTGTGTGTGTGTGTGTGTGTGTGTGTGTGTGTGTGTTTGTGATGTGGTTCCTGGCCAGTGAATGTATGTATTTTGACTATTCCACTGGAGGTCATACGTATATGTTGACTAATCGACTAGAGGACCTAAGCTCTTGGAGGTCACATATATGCAATGAATTTAGATATGATATGTTCAGTTATATGATGATATTCTATACTCTGTATCTTACCCTTCATGCAGGAAGTGGGCTCAGGGATGGAGATGACTCTATAAACCCTGAGCATACTGAGATTATTTATCTCACTCTTTTTTGGGGACATGCTTCAGGTGTGTAGAATGTCGGTGAGCCCTCTTGGGCAAAGAATGTGATTCAGGGATAGAGGAGCAGATTGATACGATATGATAGTCTTTCTTTTTGGAGGATTATTTTATATTCATTTTGGGGTCATGATGTATGGTCGTTTTGTTGTATATGTTTTAAGAGACTATTATGACATGATGTATGTGCATTTAATGTCTCAGTCATATATGCATGTAGTTTTTCAATTAGATGTATGCGTACATGATATGTATATAATAAGATATGTAGTGGCACAAAGCCATTAGTGTTTGAACACATACATGGGTCTTATGTCCTTGTAGGGACTATCTGTATATGTATAAACTGTATTGGACTCTTTTGATTGGCAGAGATTGTTATGTGAGTGGAATTTAATCCCCAGATTGTCCAGTTTATAATCATTATGCTGTCTATTTGCCTCTGTCATACTTGTTATCATACTCTGATAGTCTTTGAACATTGCTTATGTTTACAAGATTGATAAGTTAATAATAAGAATTTCGTATTAGTATGGGATGGTAAAGTAAGATTAATTATGGAAAAGTTTATATGCTTTGCAATACATTAAGAGAAAAGAAAAGAAAAAAGTTAATTCATAGGTTAACGTTGAGACGTTTAAGTAAGACTTCCGCTTATACATGCTAATTATGCTGCGCTTTAGTACCATATGTTAACTAACCGACTCAAGAAGAAAACATTACAATTTCCGTTAAATCTTTATTTGCCCCCTCTTTCTTGGAGACAATGTTTTCTTTTCTGATCTAAACCACTTTGTTTACTCTCTAAAACTGTCCCTACCCAACCATGGTTATTTTTTCTTTTCAAATGATATGGAATAAATGATTTTAAGTGAAACAATAGAGGAATTTTTAAACTTTTTTCATGGTAGTTTTATAAAAGAGTTAGCATCAAATTTTTGGTTATGTATATTATTTCTTAATGTTTTGAATAAGACTATATTTGTTTTTGGCAAAGGGTATATGTTAGCATATAGGTTTGGAGCCCCTGCTTAATACATTGTTAATGAAATATATGATCCCAGGGCATTGGTGGTGACCTCAACATCATCAGCACCACAGTCATTGAACTATTCTCAAACCGAAGGTTTTGCAAATCCAAGATCAGAAGCAATGCTCGGACTCAAGGTTAATTGAAGTTGTTGAACCCCCTGTCTCTTCGGAGGACTCTTGGGAATCATGGTTCCACTAGTACTAATGTACTGAGATTGTATCAAATGTTAAAAATGTAATTATTTTATATATGTAAATGAACCCAAAAACTAAATCATTTGTGATATTATCCATTCCCTGCATTCTTTTTTGCTGATAAGGGGACAAGATTTCCCAACATAAAATGGGAAGCTGAATTTGGAATGGTATATAAAATTTGATAAAACAGATTAACATAACAGCTCAAACTACATTAGAAGTCGATAATCGTGGAAATTTCTACGTAGAAATTACAACCTTATTTAGTTGACAACACTTACACATGAAGAAGGATATGACAATCAATATGAAGTAGTAGTACAATCGATTGAAACAACCACAAAACTGAAAATATACTAAACCATGACAACCACTCTCTCTCATGTAGCTACAACAAATTATACAGAATTCGAATTAAACTAAATCACAGCACACCGAACAAATAGTACTGGACAACATCCAGTTAAGACATGAGACAAGACAACTAAAGGCATAATTCGAACTTATGGCATGGTGGTTGGAATAGCTTTAGGAATCTCAGGGAACTCAGTGACCTTAGGCAACTCAGGCTTTGGCAATTCAGGGACCTTAGGCAATTCAGGCTTTGGTACTTCAGGGACCTTAAGCTCAGGCACCTCAGGTTTTGGCAATTCAGGGACCTTAGGCAACTCAGACTTTGGTAATTCAGGGACCTTAGGTAACTCAGGAACCTTAAACTCAGGCACCTCAGGCTTTGGCAATTCAGGAACCTTAGGCAACTCAGGCTTTGGTAATTCAGGGATCTTAAGCTCAGGAACATCAGGCTTTGACAATTGAGGAACCTTAGGCAATTCAGGCTTTGGTATTTCAGGAACCTTAAACTCAGGCACCTCATGCTTTGGCAATTCAGGGACCTTAGGCAACTTAGGCTTCGGTAATTCAGGGATGTTAAGCTCAGGAACATCAGGCTTTGACAATTTAGGAACCTTAGGCAACTCAGGCTTTGGCAATTTAGGGATATTAGGCAACTGTGGCATAGGTAATTCAGGGACATCAGGTAAGACATGCTTTGGCAGAGGTGGCAACTCAGGTTTGGGTAGTTGAGGTTCTTCTGGCTCGGATAATGTTAACTCTAGAAGATTGCGTGCTGCAGCAACCATTGTGTGACTGGTTGTTGACAATAAGGTAAGAACAAGAAATGGAAAAATCATTGTTGACAAATGGCAGGAAACCATACTTGAATCAAGCAGAGAACAAGAGCTTAAAGAGGGTAATAGGTTTGGAGCTCTTTGCGAAAGGTTTTGATATGCTCAGTGAATGTAGTATGTAGATGTTATATTTGGGGCTTTTATAGGCGTAATTGTGTATCTTAAAGATGAGTAAGCAGGATGAGCTGGTGGAATTGTTTAGTATTGTTAGTTCAACTTCTTACTTATACAACATCTCTTAAAATTTAATTTGAACATTGTTGGTCAACAGACCTATCTGCATTCGAAGCGAAAGAAACCTATTTTTATCCTTGAAAGCCAACATTATCAGCGACAAAGCTACCTCAATACCGAGGATTGTTATATATGTTTGCCAATCAAAATAATTCCTTTAGCTTTTCTAATTGCCTTGTAATAAACCAGATATATCTTCAACCCAACAAACTATAATAAAATATTATATATCTATGAAAAGGGTAGAAACTGATAAGAATATTAGCTAAAGACAAAATCGATCTCAGAAAAAGTCAAAGATTAGATAACCAATAATCAATCATACAGGCACACCTTCACATCACTGTGTATCTATATATAACCCAAACTTTCTAATAGCCTTTCCTACAAACAAAGAAATACACATTGTGCACATTTCTACTTCAGCCTAGAGGTTCCATTCTCCAAATCTTGAATATTTAACTTTAGCCATGGCTTACCACAATTCCTTTGTTATAGCTCTCTTCACAGCTCTTTCCCTTCCAAGCATGGATTTTGGCCTAGTAGCTAGGTCGGCATCTTCTACATTTTAATTTCTTTCAATTCAGACATTGATTCAAGAATTTTGGCGTTGGGGTAATTCCACATGACATAACATTTTAACCAAACTTCAGAACTTTAGCATTACAGTTTTGACATAAGACTCTACAGAGCAAGAAACTTTTGATATATAATATAAGGTGCAACGATGAAACAAGGCCTTAGCTGCTAATTAACATGCAATGATAATAAAAAATAAAAATAAAAAACGTTGAAACAACTTTTGATAATATGCTAATTAGTCACTGGGGTTCAACTAGCATTGTAGTAGTACTTGGAAAAATATTACTCCCGGTTAAACCCAACTAGCAAGTGTGGGGTGGAGGAAATCCTTGTACGCATCCTTATCCTTACATAATTGTAAAGAGGCTGTTTCTTGGATTCGAACTCATGACCTTTCAGTCATGATGAAACAATTTTACCACTGCTTCGGTTCGTCCCCAGTTGTAATAATAATTGTCATTCAAAAAAAAAAACTTAAATTGTAACAGACTTCAAAGGAGAGTTTCTATCAAACAATCATATATTGTTGGCAATGGGCATAGGATAGCGACACAAGGGACACATATGACTAGTTTGCAGCCATTGCACAATACATTGTTGGTGAAACACGTGATCGCAGGGCATTGCGGAGACTTCTTTGCCTTCATTATCATCACTCACGTCGAACTCTTCCATGCAGATAGTACAGTACTCATCCTGTTTCGTAACCTTGAACTTCTTCAGAGAATGGATAACATTATTGGAAGCTGGAATCATTCTAAAATCTTCTGCTGACTCTTCCATTATTGTATTTATGACAACGTATTCCTCGTAGTCCACGATAAAGGACACTTCCAAAGGGAACACACGATAACCCGAATCCCAAGTTATTGCAAATGCAAGGTTGAGGTCCAATAGTTGTTGAACTCTACTCATGATTCTTGGAATTATCATATCAAGCATTCTAAAGGGAATGTTTGGGTGTGATAAATGGGACCAAAGAAAATCTTGACCTTCTTGGAAAAAGGTTTGGCAAGCTATTTCTTGACAAGGATGGAGCATTGTTGTGTTCATAAGTGCGTTGGAGATTGAATCAAATAAGCGAAAAAAAGCATTGATGCGGAATTTGAACCTATCAGTGGACGTGACCATGAGGTTGGGACGGTGTTGCTGTTGGTCATTCGCATTATGAAAGAATATTGATGTTGATGTTGTGGGAGAGACACGGAAGTTGTAGTGTACAAACATTGAGAGGCCATGGCGGTTGTCGCGTGCTAGTATTGAATGTGATTCTGAAGATGCCATAATGAAGAAGACTCAATCAACTTGTGTGTATGGCTTCTTTTCTTGGGGATATATTTATTTATAAATGGATACTGGTTTCTCGATAGTAGTCAGACTAGGATTAAGGAAAGATTTTCTTATTATAAGGAAATATTATCTCCGAAATTGTCTTACTAAATCATATAAAAACATTACTGTGGTCTGTGAACTAGATTTTTCCAAAGAAAAAATAGGAAAACAAAATCTAAATTATATCTTCTTGCTATTATGAGATCAATAAAGAATTATTAACTTAGATTATTTGTATATTTCTACATTACTTTTTCTTTGTTATCGTAAAGATCATTGTGGATTTTTTTCAACACCAAGTAATTACGAAACCCACAAATCAAAAAATGTCTTCTGGTATATATATTAACGATATCAAATCTTAATTTTTTTGGTATCCTATATCAAATCTTAATTTAAAATTGGAAAGTTAGTTTTTTTCATAAAATATTTAATTATTTAATTCCTATATAGTGAATATATCTTATGGTAAGTATACATGAAGAAATAATTTTTTAATAAAAAAATGAAATTTAAAGGACAAAAAAAATGAGAATGGTATGAGAAGAGTGGGCAAATCACTCTGAATTCAGAAGAAAAAAAATTAACATATTAATATAAAAAAAATAAAATTAACATAGTATTGAGAGAGAATATATTTTTATTATATTTTGGAGTGAATATACCCCGAATACATTACGAGGAAGGGATTTCTTTTGTTGATTTATTGGAGAACACATGCATAAGGAAATAAGAGACAGAAACGTGATAAAATATATTTGATTCCATAAAGAAAAGGACTTGTGTAATTTGATATAGTATCACTTATATAAAATCAAATCGTTTCTAATTAAATTTCAGATTCTTTAAATTAGAACAAATGAAAAATAGGATTGATTATTTAATAATGCAAAAAGGATATATTGGAGGAAAAACAGTTTAAATCACACGTGATATTAACATCAGTGGAAAGAATTTTGTTTTATATAATAAGATCGATTTAAATATATTTTTACATAAAATGTCAAATATTAAATTAGATTGATATTGTAATATTTAAAAATTAAAAAAGTAAAATAAAATTGGCGCCTTAGGCGCCATTATGTACCTGAGAATGGCCCAAAGAGCACCATTGTGAATGGCTAGGAAAAAAAATTAAATGAACCAAAATTTGCGCCTTAAGCGCCATTAACTATATGAGAAAGGAAAAGCTGTATAATATATACATATATATATAATGATATAATGATGATAATATAAAATATAATAATATTAATAATAATATAAATAAATAAATAAAAAAGAATATAATAAATAAATAAATAAAACAATATATATCTATATATTTGATAATAACAAATCAGTAACACGTGTAGACACCCATGATGATTTTTAGACAACGATTACTCTTAGATTTTTTCTAAAATGCTATGATTACTTAGTTGGGAAATTCCATTTGATTTCGTTAGAGTTTAACCATATCCAATGATTATATATTTTTAGTTTGTAATCTGCCTATATGCTACCACCTGACGCGAACGGAGAACAAAAATAAAGGAAAAAATAGAGTGCGGAATTCAAGAGAAAAGATAGGAGAAGAGAGAACAGAATAACGTGGGAAGAAAAATAAAAATAAAAATAATATTGAGAAAGTGTACCGTTAGGTTCTGTGAGCCCACTATGTACCCTATAGGGTAACGTTACTATATGGATTATACCACTAGGCGAGGTAATGACCAGACTAGTAGGTATAGTTCCAAGAGGCAAGCAAGCTAATAGCAATGACAGATTAATAACGGGAGTATGACTTGGAAGTAAATGGGGATAACAACAGTACATAAAAGATACCTCTAAGGTGTGCCCAGGAGGGCTATTTATAAGGGAAATGGTGCGGGTTGGTGAGGGAGAGGTCAACTCTCCTTGGGATTTACTCCCATGATGCAGTGTTAGGCGCGTTGGCGCTGTCATTGTGGCAGTGCTGCGCCCTCTGCACTCTGGCGGTGTCAGCGCCGGGCAAAGGGGGAGTTTCCCTTTGTGATGTCTGTCGTAGTCGCCTTCAACGGTTAGCGTTCCAAGATGGGACATTTTGGTGTATGCCTTGGGCCTGCTGCTACGTTGGGGGTTGAGGGGGTCCATGTCAGCCCTAAGGGCTGACGTGGGGCAAGGCTGAGGCTGGGCTTGAGTGATTGGGCTAGCTGAGGGTTGGGCCTGTGTAGTTGGGCCACCCCAGTACTCGAGTCATCCAGAACAGGAGCCCCCCAGCTTGGTAGCAGCCGTGGGGTGGTGCCAAGTTAAAGACTCCGGACGTTCTTGTCAGGGCGGTGTGCGTCCTTCAAGAGGGAGTTACTGGCGCTCTATGGGTATAAGTTGGCGCCTTGGTAGATAGGATTTGGCGACCCATCGTTTGGCGATGTGAAATGCTTGAGCACGGGCGTCTCCTTTTGGTGATAACTGTCCTACGGTCATTGATGACAGGGATTGGTAGGTGACGAAACCGAAAAGCTGCCTCTTAAAGGTATTTTAAGAGCCTTTTCGGTTTCCGAGGAGCCGTAATAATGAGTTATTCCATCATTACCATTTACTGCAGGCATCCAAGCGTCATAGGGTTCGGCGCATTAATGCGACGCGACTGGTGATTTGTCCCTTTGAAGTGACTGTTTCCCCCTCTCCTTAACCGCTCATCACACGATGAGCATGCCATCGTACGGTTAAGTGAGGATTACTTACACGTGTCTGTGTGAGACTAGTGTGACTTGCGTAACCGCTCATCCCACGATGAGCATGCCATCGTATGGTTAAGTGAGGATTACTTACACGTGTCTGTGTGAGACTAGTGTGTCTTGCGTGAGGCCTCTCTCTTCCCCCCCCCCCCCCCTTTTTTTTATAAAAAGGGGGGGCCTTGTTAGGGCTCTTCCTTACGCGAAACCTACACTCTTACGCATTGCTCAGAGCCTTTGTTCACTATCCTCAGTTTGGTGTGATAGTGCCGGTCTTCTTTCTCTTCTTTCCTGCGATTCTCAGGTATAGTCCTTCTTCTCTTGTCGTTTCTATTCTCATTTCTGGTTGTCTTCTACTCTTTTTTTTGTTGTATCGATGGTTAGGTTTACAGAACCTATCCCAGGCCTCATACTCCCTGAATTGGAAGTAGAAATCAAGGAAGAGGAGTTTGACGAGGCCTTTGAGGCACTGGGGGATAGTGCGGTGGGGCCAGCGACGCGAGAGTATCTTGCTAGTTGCGCCTCAAGTCGTCCCTTAGTTCCTGGGGTTGAGAAGTTTCCCCACGGGAAGGTGCCCGAACTTCTGGGTTTTAGTGAAAAGGAGATTCAAAATCTCCTTCCCGAGAGAGCTTTAGGTCCTATTCTACCGTTTGCCGGTGAGGCGTCATGTTCAATTCCCCGTAGTGGACGCCGAAGAGGGCGCCACGATTTGGTTGGTGAGAAGAGCTCCAGATCTGGTGGGCGTTCGCATGCCGCCTCTAGGAGGCAGATGCTCGCTTCACGCCGTCCCGTTTCTCGGCGTTCTGATCTTGGAGTTGGGCGATTAATTCGACCCGTATCCAACATCAACCGCCTGCGTCAAAACCGTCCCTTAGAGTATTATTTCCACCCTCGCCCTTCTCCAGTCGCCCTTCGTTCCTCTCATGGTCGAATTCCCCCTATTCCCCAATCTTTCCATCGTCGCATGTATGATGAGTCCACAGAAAACCGTTTGGGTAGATATCACCCGGAGGATGGTCGCCTTACAAGGTATGGCGTGTGGGACGCCATTTTTGAGGATATAGGGCTTTATAAGATACCGCCTGCTTGGTGGCCTTCTAACCTGAGCTATTCATATTTTTATTCAAGTTCATCAGATACCTCGGATTCTGATGGTGAGTTAACTGTATAACTTTTCCTTTTTCCTTTTCGTTGTTCTTGGCGCGGGGGGTGTTGGAGGTGACAGGGATGTTGATAGGGTGGGTTGGAGTATCTCGTTTCCTTTTGCAATGGTCTTCCTGGCGTCAGTGAAGTTTAGAAGATTGACTGTGTGTTTGTCACTCCTAGGTAGGACTCTCAAGGATTTTCCAGAATTATGGCGACTGTTCCGTCGGATGATGGTCTCGGGGCGCGGGATTAGGTTGACTCAGTGGTGGCCTCAACCTCTTCAAGCTACTCTGACAAGAGCATCTTACGCAGTCACTATAAAGGTGAGCCTAGCTTTAGTATAACTGAAAATGGCGCCATGGAGGCGAAGTGGCAACCGATCGCGGTCGGCGCTGATCGTCGAGTTTGTGACGCGCCTCTTATGGAGCAGCGATTACGATGGCGATTTATGGTGTACAAAACCCACTTTACTGATCAGAAGGTGAGGTTTCCGTTATCCGAGTTCGAGATGGGGGTGCTATCTCACTTACAGGTCGCGCCTTCACAACTGCATCCCAACGCTTGGGCGTTTGTCCGAGTATTTGAGAGTATATGCAAGTATTTTGATATGGCCTATTCTGTACGATCATTTTTCTACTGCTTTCAAGTGTCACCATCCAAGAAGACGAAGCTTGGTTGGGTTTCTTTGAAGGCGGGAAACTCGATTGGATCAATATTTGCCCAGTACGCCAATTCTTACAAAAATTGGATGCGTACCTTCTTTTGGATTGAACCAGTGCTAAGCGAGGGCGAGCTCCCTTTCTTTGTTGATCCGTCGAGTGGGGAGTGCCGGTTTCCCCTGTACTGGACTAAGGCTCATTATGAAACGCCGGCCGGTCAGTACTCGTTTGCTCTAAGGGTCTTGTCTCCTGGGGAGGTAAAGGCGATCGGTTGGTTCTTGGAGGTAAATGGGGGTCTTGACAGGTGGCCGACGAAGCAAGTGTTGTGTCATTGAGGTGTGGTGGCGTTCAAAGTTTTCCTTTTTCTTTAACTTTGTGGCGATTTATTCTGAGTCTTCTTGTGTTTACCCTTTCTTGTGTTTATACTGACTCGTATCTTATTGTTTGTAGT